ACTACCGGCCGCCAGACATCATTTAAGACCACAGCGCTCCAACGGAATGACACGTTCTCCGAGATCAAAACTCTTTCCATCTATTATCCGTTCCTCTGTGTACACATTAAACTATTCCTACTATTCTGGCCTCCACCGACTTCTCTACTAAGTAACCATTGTCTGAAGATCGCAGTTGCTAGGGTTTAACTTACATAACCCCCTGCGACATGGTCAAAAATTACACAGGTTGTACTACGGACTGCCCGATGGCAACGCGTCAATATTACGCGGTTAACGCGCAGTTGCTGATTGACTTCTGCTCAACTGTTCACATCAAATTCTGGTCTACATCTATAGACCTGTGAATATACCAATCTAGATCGAGTTATAAATTAAGTTCGGCGGAAATTGGACTTGAAATACAAACCCCAACTTTTGAAGGACTGTTGAGATCGTTAAAACGTGCTTTTAATGGTTTCAAAAAGATAACTAATCACATTTCTTTGGGCCCGGCTTAGTTGATGTTAATTGCTGCATGTAGAGAAAAAGATTTGGCGTTTGGAGACTGATGGAAGACCATCGCCGGCGAAAGGCTCGAATTCGCTAACATTTAACGCAAATTTATTCACATTGGTCACCTAATTAGCATGCGGAGTCTGTTTTGGTTAGACGAATACTGCTTTTAATTTACAAATCCATTTATGTCAGGAATGGCGCCATAACGCGCATAAATCTAAAGTACAGCATACATAGCTTATAGGGGACTGTGGCCCACCTCTCAGTTTCTTAAGGTTGAGACCGGAGCATCTGTGGCCGCTACCAGTACTCCAGCTTTATCAAATTGCCACTGTAAAAATACAGTTTCCCTGAATGACCAGCAAAATTTCTGAATATTGCGAAGTGGGAATGTACAAGTAAATATCCACTAGCGTGACATTACTAATGCTGAGAATATATATGGTTCTCTGCCATTGTTCGGTCTTTTATACACCAGTGAGGAAACTTTTCGTTTGCAGAAGTGACAACTTAAAAAACGATTGGCAAAAGTAGTTCCCCGCGTCTTAAGGAAAATTTCTGCTCTTGGCCCTTATTGCCAGACAAAGAAAGGCCAAAATTCGGCAAAGTAAAAGACGTATGGCATTTCATCCTTCAATTTTTATTCATTGAAAAGAATTAAAATTCACACGGTATCCTATTAGCCTTTTACTTGGGGAGCTCATGCAACCGCGGTGCGATCAAGGACTCCATCTACCCCTTCCGTCGCCTCTGACACTTTATTCGGGTACTCGTACTGGTTCTGCCCAGACCATCAGTATCCAAGTCCTGCTTTCTGCCCTCTGCTGTCAACTGAAAACTAAACAACATAGCCAGGGAGGAAGAGACTATCAGACATAGTTACTAAGATTTGTTCTGGTACCACATCTGGGAGGCTTCTGATCACATAAACCAGAGCGGTACACTGATTATGTCCCACGAGACAGTAGCCGCGTCGTCCTATTTTCTTCCTTCAAAAATGACAAAAAGGTAGAAGGCCGTGTGGCAGACCGCACTGACCCATTTTGCCTGCGCTTACCAAGCCTTGGATACTGTTTATAAATCGTGACTACGGCCCGCATTGTCCTGTCCGCCGCGCATAAGCTCGAGGTCAATCAGTGCGCACCGTTTAGAAGATTAACCGCAGGCGACACCTCGCAGTCAAGGATACCCAACAGCGGACACACACTGACAAAATTGAGCTGAACACACAACTAACAGCTGGCGAGTTACAGGACACTCTATAATGCTCTTTTCTCGTCGTAAAAGGCTCATCCAAATTATTCCGTCGTCCCTGACTTCTCATTTGGGAAACCTTCGTTTTGCCGACAAAACCACTTCTGACAGCCAATGGGAGAAACGAATGTCTAAGCGCTTTCAATAACGCTACTCATCTGCGCGGACAGGAGGAAATGGGGAACCTTTGGTTGGGACAGGCTATGTAGGCTAGATGCTCGAGTTAGGAAAACCGCTTGGAAAACGATTGTTTTACCTCATCTTGAATTGGAGCAGCTCCTAAGCTTTTTCTGTTTACCCTACTCACTGCAATTTTCGGACAAAGTCCTGTGCAGAAGGATAAGATATAAAGCGTCATAATAGAGAACTTATTCTATACAGAACCTCGAGCTGTGATTTTAGACAAGTAACCGCTGGCGGCCCGGGGTCTGCTGATATATCAGTGGAAGGGCTACATTATATGACCTCATTTGCCTATCTGTTCTCCTCTACACTACCATCGATCCAAACCGCTGTGCAGAACTTTCGTGCGTCGTGTTATTTGGTTCTTGTACTTCGGATTTTCGCACGTCCCGCATAAAATAATTGAAGGGAAGATACACATAGCCGTCGCACTTCAAGACTACGGAAGGAGATATCCGCTTCTGCTACTGTTTTTGCTGTCTCTGATGAAGAACCCGCGACGGACGCCGAAACGCTAGGTGAATAGAAGTTTTGTCCCAGCGATCGAATCTTCTTCTTCCCAAATACTAAGCAATCCCCGTTGTCAAAGAATATTAAAAATTCTATCCCACAACCAAGTTAATAAGACAGAACTCTACCACCGATCGGATATAACACCCAACGGATTTACAAGGACAGTCTCTTCAGGCACTTCATCGAACAGGAGAGATCTACTACTAACTCTTCCCCTAAACTGCTGCCGGTTTAGACAGGGAAATGGTCTTTGACCCGAAAGCTTGTCCCGCAATGAACAAGCTACCCGGCTTGGTCGCGTTTACAGTTCATGGACTGCGCCGGATAGCGATGCTGTGGACGCTAGATTAACGGATACTATCGATACCGAGCACAATTTATGTGGTCCACTTTGAAACTTTTTTTCAAGACATCGTCTAAATTGCACGACCGAAAATTCCAGTACTCTCCGAAAAAATTCTCAGAGGTTGGATTTCCTAAAGTAATGGATAGGTTTCACACTCCGCCCTACTCATTCAAAACGTTAACTGTTCTAGAGATATTGCAAATTTGGATTTCTAGCACATCTTTGTATAATACGGGAAGTATCTGCAGGGAACACGTAGCTTTGACACTTCAAGGCCGTACCAAAAGTGTTATACTATCACGCAAAACAAGAGAGAAAGTGTGTCATACGTGAACGGCGATTTCGAGGTGAAACTGTCGTAAAGGAACTAGGCAGATTCAGCGCACTGACACGTTATATAAACTGATTATTGCAGAAACTTCATAAGATACTCCAAAGGTACCAGCCAAGGGTTCACGCGCTTCAGCGCGCCCTAGCGTGGCTTACGGAGAGTCCCGCGCAGGGCATCCTTTGTCACACTGGTACGTACCAGATAAACACGCCAGCAGCATACATTACGTCCGACGACTAGGCAAGAGCCGCAGCGTTACGGCGCACTTGCAGGTGTGACCATATGGCGATCAGAAGGCTAAGCATACACGCATAATCATCAGACGCAGTTAGTGAACTAGAAAAGGAATGAGACTGTACAAGATGAAACCGATTGGCTGGGTCGAGAAGGGGCTAAAAAACATAGCCAACTCTGGAAAAGGGCAGAATATGCAATGTACAAGCGAAGCAAGGCATTGGCGAGAGGAGGCAGGGGCCAAAAGGGACTCCGACCTACTGAGTACCGCATATACACAACAAGCAAACAATTTGCACGTCAACACAATCGGATGTTTGAAAGTACAGATGTAAAGATATGTACGTATGTATATATGTACATAAACGTGTGCGCTCACGTGGGGAGGCATTGTAAAGGAAAGAGAGAGTAACAGGTTATCGATTGTGGACGTGGAATGAGTTTGCCAGTTAAAGGTCATACGAAGGGACACAAGGAACGGTGAGTGCTATGGGGATCGCTCTCGGTGCTGAGCCAATGAGGATACAATAAACTCTCCCCTCCTCCTTTAGGTTGGGATACAAAGCAAGGAATGAAAGACATGCGAGTAGTTTAGCGATAACCCTCGTAATGTAGATATTGGACAGGGTGGCAGGCAGAGGGGGGGATCTGGTCTTGTGCGTGATGGGGAGCGAGACTGCTGGGAGGCGGTTGTTGAGGCGAAACCGTCCGCGACTGTTGTGCCTGGTGCTGCTTCGAAAAGGCAACACCGGACATGTTTTGACGTTGGGGTTGAAAACCATAGCCGGAATTCCAGGACCCACCGCTGTTCGGTGGATGCATGAGGTGGGGCTGCTGTTGTTGTATACCAGGTGGAGGGAGTCCGTCGGGTGTCTGAAGAGGGACGTTCTGACCCATGCAGATCTTTGTTTGTCGCTGTTCCTGCAAGCGACCGCCGCTGGGGTAAGGAGGAGGGTCCGGCACCTGCTGTGAATTTATGCCGTAGAGGACTTGATCAGACTGCTGTTGTTGATAGCGGACGGAATGTTGGGAGTTCTGCCCCATACCCATGAGGGGGCAATTCGGAGGCTGTTGTTGAAAGGGACCACGTCGTATCGGCTGCTGATGCTGTGACATACTGTCTAGTAAACCACCACCGGCTCCAGAGGGATCGTCTACAGTGGAGGGGACGGTGACATTAATGTAGCCGCTCATTTGATCCTGGCCGGCGGACGCGGTGTCAACACTTGGAAAGGAGTTGTAGTCACTTGGAATGGCCTGTGAATTGGAAACAAATCCCGTTGGATCTTGTGACATCATTTGCTGCTGCTGCTGTTGGAAGTTCGGACCTTCATCCACCAGAACCGGGTAGTAGTGTAGGGGCCGCTGCTGTTGGTTCAATGGCTTCTGTGGAGTCATAGAGATACCACCAACGTCAACTGGCTTGTGCTGTTGCTTTCCGCAATACATTCCAACCTGAGGCGGCGGACGTT